AAAAAAAGGGGGCTCCCAAGGAGTTACACAATTTGCTTTGAAAGAGCTATGATTGGTGCTGGCAAGCAGACTTATACTATGCTAACTCAATTATTTATATTTATTGCTAGGTTAAAGTTTTATTTTTAAGAGAGTTCAGTGGTGCAGAGCTAGTTCCAGGAACTATATCAGGAAGTAGCCATTTAGCTTAACCCAGAACAACAGTTCAGTTTCATTTGGAGAGGATGTTCGCTCTGCTTCCTGGAGGCCTTCTGGCTCCATGGAAGAGGGAGAGAGAGAGATAGAAACATCCATGAGAGAAAAACATCTATAGGCTGCTTCCTGCATACCCCCTCCTGGGGATTGAGCCCACAACCCAGGCATTGACTGGCGACCTCTCAGTGCATGGTTCAATGCTCAACCACTAAGCCACACCAGCTCCATTTTAGATTGCTCTCTTGACAATACCAACTTCATGTTGCTGTTTTCCTTTCACATTCCCTCCTTTTGATCAAGATCTTTCCTTAGAAAGCATCAATGATCAACCATCAGGATATATCGTTGGTCTGTCATTGAAAAAGCAACATTGATCCCTTGTCTCCAGGAAGGCTCATTTCTGCTATGTCATGTCCATGTAGGGGAAAAGTAATTTCCTGAGTATACAGTAAGAGAGCTTATGGACACATTTGAGCAATAGGAGGCTTGTCAGAAGCAGAGCTAAGTCACATATTCCTCAGATCAATAGTTCCTTTGTAGAGGTGGTCTCAGATTTATTCATTGTAACATCTCTAGTTGTTGGGCACTACCATTATTCTGGTAGTGGTTGTTAGTCATTGTTGGATATACCTTGTGAGACACCTAGTTAAGGTAAGTAAACAATATAATTACAAAAACCAATATGATTAAGGCCTGTAGTATAGAATAAAGCCAGGTTCCTATTTCTGCAGGCAGCCAGCTAAATAAGTCTGTCCAATCCCAACTTACAGGGTAATGTTCTGTCTGTTCAAGGGATTTTAATGTTTTGTTTCAGAACCTCAAGCTATTGCATCACTTTACCTGATTTGTTAACATAAAAACAACATTCCTTTCCCAATAGGACAAAGTACCACCTTGCTAGGCAACTAATGCATCATTCCTTGTTGTTCTTCAAGAGCAGCTGCAATCACATTCCATGATTGTGCTACAAGAATAGAAAGATTTCTGATAGACTTTTCCAATTCAGCTACTTCCTAACAAAGTAAGAAAGCGCTAGTGAAGGAATGCCCAAAGCCTTGCTGATCTATTATAGGGTTTCAGGTGAAAAGATCGAAAAGACCATGCCCAAAATCCAAATTCCATTTGGTCCACTTAGTCAAAGTTTATAGACAAAAGTGCCTCCACTGGGGCTAATGGCAGAGGAAGGGAGAGTACATAATTAGGCCCTTAAACCCAGACTTTGAGGGAAGTATTAAGCTTATTTCTGAAGGAGGGATTTCATGTCCTCCATATGTTGGATGATCATAATAATCATCAACACAGACAACATTAAAGTCATCATGAGATTTATGAATGTGATTAAAATAACACCCGTTTCTATATATTTGGGTTAGGATGGAAAGATTAGCATGGATTTGATTGTTCTAAGTTTTGGGGCTGGGATTCTCTAAGACAGCGGTTCTCAACCTGTGGGTGGCAACCCCTTTGGCGGTCAAACGACCCTTTCACAGGGGTCGCCTAAGACCATCCTGCATATCAGATATTGACATTACGATTCATAACAGTAG